ACAGTCAGAGAGGCAGGGAGGGAGGTGTTCTCTCTCTCTCCCACTTCCCTGTCCTCCAGATTTCCCAACACCCCAAATTTTCTGGCTATGCCCGTGCTCCCTTGTGTGAATTCTTTTATGGAAAGTTACAGTATCCTCCCTTTGTGAATCTTTTCATGGGAACAGAGACTTCCATACTGAGTAAAGCTTTTTCCACACTACAAGCACAAATATCAGGGGTGTCAAACATGCAGCCCGGGGGCCGGATTAGGCCCCCGGAGGGCTTTTATCAGGCCCACAGTGGAACTGGCTGTCTTCTGCTTCTTCTTCCAGTTCTGCTGCTGCTGCATCATTGTAGGTTTGCAGCTTACAGAGACACACCTGAACAGCATACTCAAGACTGCAACAGCACAGTGTCAGCAAGCTGCCAATATGTTTTCCTATTCGCTTTCCCATGCATGCCTGTTTATGCACTTAATTGCCTAGTTGCAGGAACGTCCGTATCTTTCAAGGCCACAGGTGGTAGCCGGCGGGTAGTAGCTTGGGTGATCTCATGGCACTATCCATGAGAAGCAGTATGTTATGATTAAGTAGGAGCGTTGCTTCCCAGGCAAAATGGCGCTTTTTGAATTTACTATACGGGATCCATGCTTATGCCTCATTCTGAACAGTGATCCTGTTATGCACCTATTGCTTCAAAATAAAGTAACATCTTTTCTACAAGTGTGTGCTTCGTTGATGCGATGGGAGTCTGACACACAGACATTTTGATGCAATAATTCAGAGCAAGAGGTGTCAGTTATCAGACACAAATAAACAAAATATTGCAAGAGTGCTAATGTCTTAAGCATGTTTTTATTTTAAGTTAAAAAAAACCTTTGTTTTTGTGTCCTTCATAAAGTTTATATGTCCGCTACCTGGCATTACATTTTATGACACACATGGCCCGGCCCAACAAGGTCTCATTTATGTCAAATCCGGCCCTCATAACAAATGAGTTTGACACCCCTGTTCCAGACCATAGACCATAAACGAATCCATCCAGGTGATACACATAAATGCCTGTAGTGTGGAAAGAGTTAACATAAGAACATGAGAAGCCAATGTTGAATCAGGCCAATGGCCCATCCAGTTTAACACTCTGTCACACAGTAGCCAAAAATACCAGGTGCCATCAGGAGGTCCAGCAGTGGGGCCAGGACACTAGAAGCCCTCCCACTGTGTCAGCTAACGCCGCCATAGCAATGGGGAGGAGGTTGGAGGAGTATCACACTGCAGATTGGAATGTGTCTAGCTCTTCTCCCTTGCTCCTTATCTTGCAGGTGTCCTTGAGGCCCTGCTCTGCTTGTGCAGCTTTTCCCACTGGGAAGAAAAGGCCGTTGTATTAGGCACGCTTGCTTGCTTTTCCTTACTGGCTGTTTTTTCCCCAGGGGGTCCTGTATGAACCATGTATAAGTGTTCCACCTTCCCCCGTTATGCTTTATTCCTGACACAAGCCCTGTGTAACAGATGACCAACGTTTACTTTTCTCAATAAACTGAACTTTATAAAGTGCTGGTGTTGGGATTGTGATCGTAGGACTCTGACAGGAAGGAGGAAGTGGTAGTTGGCCAGAACGTCAGTTCCCTACCAAAGCTTCTGCTTTCATTGGGGGAAGGCTGTTGAAAGGGGACAGTTGCATGTCTTATGTTTA